GATGGGTATATGGTACGCCATAAATTTCAATTATTATTTGGCCACAAAATTTTCACAAAATAAAACATAACTTGTTACGTTTTGTTACTTGCCACATTGGCAACTTTCGCGAAACAAATAATCAGCGTTCATGCGCATAATTCATGCAGCAATAACAATAATTTACAATAAGTAAGACAGAAAAACTTACAACAACAATAGCAACAAAATATGCACAAACACAGTTATAATTGCAGACAACTGTTGTTCACAGCATTGATTATTTTGAAATTCGCCAGCAATATTTTTTACAACAAAACAGTTGCAGCAGAAGGCATGCAGCCAAACATTCAACAAGTTTATAAATAAATTGTATTGTGGTTAAAGTTCTGACGTTAAAGCGTGCCAGCGTTAAGTGGAGTACGAACAATTTGAGAATTGCAAGGAATAATAATACTAAGTGGCTTTTGAAAGTAGGTAATCACGAAATCTTAAGAAAAATATATTAGAACACCAAAAGCAAAATATAAGTAAAAGTGACAAAAGGAACGTTAACTTCGGCTGCCGAGGCTTTAATACCTGCACAGGGACATTTCTTATAACATAAAAGGCTATAAAAACATTTATCTTAATTTTGATAGGTCAGTTTGCAAGGCAGCTATATGCTATAGTGATCCGATATCGCGGACTCGACAAATGAGCACTCTTGGGAGAAAAGAACTTTTCAAATTTTCAACACTGATCGTTTTTATAGCATACTTTATAGCGTCTAAGACGTTTACGTCTGGGGTAAAATCATACCAAATAATTAATAATATTTTGATATTTTCATTAATTATTTGAAGTAAGCAAATCAAAGCTTAATTATCAATTTAAAGCATTTCCAAATGTATATAAATATTTATATATTACGAAATTCATTTTTATTATGTTTCATTCATATCTGTGAGGACAACAGTGCGTATGATGAACATGTTAGTAACTCTTTAACACGCAACACCGATAGGCGTTCGATGATATGTAGGTGTGTGCATGCGCAAATTTATTACCCACATAAGTTCATGTTTTTATATAGACATACATACACATAAACATACATTTGCACAACCATGCATACGCATCGGAAACACTTTATGCTCTTCTTTCTCAACGTTCTCTCCCATTTTGGCATGCATACGGTATTTATTGACCTACGACATCTGCTGCGTGAATTTATGGATGAATTGAGTGTTAAAATAGCAATTGAACTGCCTTTAATATTTACCAATGAACGTTGTAGTAACCGTATCTTTGTTGTTTTATCTATTTCGGTTTATATATGTTCGTGTGAAGCTTTTTGTACCTTAGCGTACTCAGTTAATCCGTATATAAATTTTAATACATAGATACGAATGCGTTAAAATTAGCGTAAATGTGAAATAAAATAAAAATATTTATATGCTATTGCATAATTACAATTGGCTTGCGCACGCAGTTGACATCGACTGTCCGGGTTAAATTTAATAAGATGGTCTTTAAATCTTTCTTCGGAAATTTAAGCAAATTAAAATTAATTCTGAAAAACTATACACAGCTAAATGTAGTTGACCCGGTTGGCAATTCTATTCTGACTCTCTTTGAACGTTTCCGAAGCGAAAATGAGAAATTTGTACCATAATCGCTACGCTTTGGAAAAATTTTAGAACATTGATATGAAGTTATGAGCACGTTTTTCAACTCAACAATGAAAAATTATAACAAAGGAATTAATGTCGTACTCTCCTAACAAATAAAGCATATAACTTAACAACATCATATAATTATACAGCCATTTAAGGGTTAGGGGTAGTCAAAGGCAGAAAAATTTGAATTTTCAGCAATTACAATGTTTTGACTTGAAGTCACGAAAATTTCAAAAAAAAATTCCAAAGTTATAGCTGTCTGTGTTTACCCTGTTCCAAAAAGGTCAGTGCAGTGACAATCATAAGTCCTTGGAAATTCATCTAAAATCAATCGGATAGAAAAATTTGTTTTATAAATAAAATCAACAATCAAAATTGGTCTTAAAAATCGAAATTTCTGAAAAATCCTTCGATCAGGCCAGAGTTCATTATTACTCTTAAACCTATATAAATTTCATTAAAATCTACTAAGCGGTTTTGAGTTACAGTTGTCACCAGTTCGAAAAACATAGTTTGAGGAAAACGCATTTAAAGTTTCACCTACCTGTTCCAGAGCGCTTTGAAGTGCCCGATCGCGCTTTGTTATTTGTCGAGTAACTATCGGAACAACTTTAAATTTTCAGAGAATATTTTCAAGATATTACACTTAACGAAAATGCAAAAATTTTTGGAAAATTCTGACTACTCCTGACCCCTTAAAACACTTTTTTTTCGAAATTGCGTAGCGATTTGCTCAACACGCATAGTATGATAATTAGAAGCAAGTAATTTATTTATTTTTACATATTTCTAGTATATAGTCTATACCTTTAAAAATCACATATGTTCCTAACACATTTTGCCTTTTTTGACTTGATTTTTCGCCTTAATTCGTAAATATTGACCTTTCAGTTTTAAGATTGTATGAAAAATGTGAGTTTGGCGCGCCAAAAATCATCTTATGTTTGAGCAAAATTTGACATTTTTTTTAATTAGTTAAATTAGTTTTTTTTTAACAATCTTGGGGCATTCTATAGGTAATACATTTCGGTTTTATAATTTATTTTTTTTGCAACCGCGTTGAAACCCCAATAACTGAACCATTATTTTAGTAACTAGGAAAATAGCAAATAAAAATACTAAAAATTAAATTAAATTTTTTAGAAAGCCTTAATGTACATATATTCACTAGTTGTGTATAAATATAACCGCAAATTATACAAAATTTAATGCAGTAGTTTTCTTCAAAAAAATGTTCGCATATCGCATGTCCGTTTTTTTAGGCGATTACACTAGTTGTTTCCTTTAAAAGCAATTGGCACATTCTTATAAAGCCGACAAAGGAATGAATATTTTGATATCTGTCACTTTTTGCAGAGATCATGAATCATTTCACACGCTCTATACAATTAAAATTAAAAATATATATTTAATGCTTATTTCCATTCTTCACTGGTCCTTTGGTTTATGTTAACGCCAGCATTTTCAAATTAAAATCAAGAAACATTCAGTAACGGATTTTTAACGCAATCTTATCGCCAGCTTGTTAAAATGCTTCTGTTAATAAATTATAAAAGTAATTACTTCCATATTAACCGCTTATCTCACACACTCACAGATTTACCTGCACTGATTATTTAAAAGTAATTATTTATATTTTATTTTGAAATTTCTAATGACACTAATGCGAGCTTATTACATATATACGATATACATGAGTGTAAAATTTGTTAATTTGCCGTTTCTTTGCTAGGTTATGCCAACGAAAGCATTTGCCACTGCCATTTTTGTGGGTGCCGCTTAATAAATGATTAGAGTTATCCAAAGATTTCACACGGCCGTAAGAGCATTTTCTGCATAAATTCCAAATTTCTTATATAACAGACACTAAGCAATACTTTAGTTGCTTTAATTTCAAATAATGTACATTATAATCACTACTTATCGCACACTCCATTGAAATTTTTGCATACTTCGATATTTAATGTAAAAACATTTATTTTATACTTTAACTCTTTTACTCACAATACACTGCAAGCTAATCTTATTAATTGCTTTAAGCACTCAAATTTTACTAATTATCAATAAATTCACATTCACAGAAAAATTAAAATGGCATTTAGAATATTTACAAATAAACAGTATGGCGGCGGATATGGTGTTGCAACTGCCTTTCTTCAATGTCAAATTAGAGGAATTCAGATAAGGAGGAATTTGGCATCCAATTGGAGAAAGTGGAGGAAAATTTAACATGAAAAATGAAAAAAATTTACAATTTATTTAAGGCGTCTAAAAGTATGCAATGTTCAGCATTTTTCGTCTGGTTTTAAAATAGATTATAAAGTACGCAAACGAAACAAACTTGTTTAAATTTTTGGAGTTTATTATCGAAACAAAGATAATTATAAATATAAAAAACATTCTTCAAAACAAAAGAAAGAAAACAAAATCAGATTGAGTACGCTTAAGTTTAATATTGCATAAGTACAGAAAAATAATGTAAAAAAGATAAGATAATAAAGATATCGGATATATTATATCACAAAATCTTCCTTATATACCACATAGCTTATTTCCCCGTCTGATTTTAAAATAGATTATAAAGTACACAAAGAAAGAAATTTATTTTGAAATATTTTGGAATTTATTATCGAAACAAAGAAAATTATAAAAATAAAAAATCATTCTTTAAAACAAATAGGAAAAGAAACAAAAAGCAGATTGAGTACGCTTAAGTTTAATATTGTTGTAAGCACAATGTAAAAAGCTAAGATAATAAAGATATCAGTATATTAAATATGCACAAAATCTTCCTCATACACCACATAGCTTTTTTCACCCGTCTGGTTTTAAAAATAGATTATAAAGTACACAAAAGAAAGAAATTTATTTTGAAATATTTTTGGAATTTATTATCGAAACAAAGAAAATTATAAAAATAAAAGATTCTATAAAACAAATACGAAAAGAAAACAAGAACAGATTGAGTACGCTTAAGTTTAATATTGTGTAAGCACAGAAAATAATGTAAAAAAGATAAGATAATAAAGATATCAGATATGTATGTATATTAAACATGCACAAAATCTTGCTCGTACATACACATGTATTTATATATGTATATAGACACACAAACACATTACAATAACAAAAAAATAATAATTAATGTTTCACTTAATTAAATTTTTATGAAAATCTTTATACGCTGCAAAATTGTATTAAAATTTATTAAAATCGTATATTGCCATCAGCAACGCAACAAAATTAATGCACCACAGCAAAAGTAAACAAACCCATTTGAGATAACTTAAACAATGTTTAATAATAAACAAGTTTATCGCCAGCAAAGGTAAGTCAAACTGATAAGGAGAAAAATAAAAATTTCATTTTTATAAAAAATCTTTGAAAAAATTTCACTTTACTTTCAACTTTGAAATATTACAAAAATATTATCGACTTTTGGATAGATACACGTATAACATTCTATTTATGCCTAGATTTAAAAATCAATAATTTCCGATTAAATGCAACAATATGAATGACAGAGTGCGCTAGTTCACCGGCGAGATTAATTAATAACAAACCATTTAAGGTTGCATGCGGAGTGCACCATCAATACGAATAGTCTCGCCATTCATCAATGGATTTTCATAGATGGACTGCACTAAATGAGCATATTCCGATGGTTCACCTAGACGTTGAGGGAAGGGAACTGATTTGGCCAAGAAGGTGCGCACCTTCTCGGGCAATCCCTGCAACATTGGTGTGTTGAAAAGACCCGGCGCAACGGTACACACACGTATACCCTGTGTGCTAAGATCACGTGCAATTGGCAATGTCATGCCAACCACAGCAGCCTTCGAAGCCGAATAGGCAGCTTGTCCAATTTGACCGTCATATGCAGCAACAGAAGCGGTATTTATAATAACGCCACGTTGTCCATCCTTATTTGGCTCGTTTATACCCATTACACCGGCCGCTAGACGAATGACATTGAAGGTACCAACAGTGTTGATCATAACTACGCGTGTAAAATCTTCCAAACGATGAGGGACATCCTTATTGAAGTTGTAAGTCTTAACAGCTGTAGCTGTGCCGGCACAATTCACAACCAAATCGAGACGTCCGAACTTTTCCTTAGCTGTCTGTACGGCGGTTTGTACATCCTTTTCAGAGGTCACATCGACTGGTACAAAGATCACATTATCACCAATTTCTTGTGCCACCTCACTACCTTTCGAGCTGCTCAAATCGGCCAACACAACACGAGCGCCTTGTCGTGCCAATCTTTCAACTGTTGCGCGACCCAAACCAGATGCCCCACCGGTTACAAGAGATACGGCGTTCTAAAAGTATATATAAATTGTTATCAGTAAACGCGATATGATTTACAAGTAGCGATTGTATAATAAATCTTGTTGTATATGTGCGTTGTGAAGCCAAATATGTACGTACACACCCCCACTGAGAGAGGTGAACTTTGGACTTTGTTTACCGGACAGCGAAAGGCAGGACCTACGTTGCTATTGATATTTTGGTACTTGCCTTAATCATGTTGCTTGTTCCGTGTAAATATTAAAAATGACTACTTTGTGTTAAATTCAACTGCTTATAAAAAGATACGATGATATTTTGGAAAAACACCGGTTGCTTCAGCAATCAAAGGAAACCAATTGGCAATGAGAATCCAATTGGAACATATCAGTGTTCTAAAAGGGCAACAAAATTTCCACTGAAGGGTTGCATTTTAAAGGTATAAACGAATATTAATTTATCAATGCGTCATCAACTTTAAAATGTGTTTCCCTTTGAACTTTCGTTTGTTTTGTTTACGTTTTGGAAAACAAGAAATATATGCTGTAATTAAAAATAATCATGATTTTTTTATACTCTTAACAGAGCAAAGTTAATATGCCACGAAGTTTGTATAACTCAGAAGGTATGATCAGCGTAACAAGCCCATATTTTTCTTATATATCTTCACGAACGAACAACAACGCTACAAACTCTGAAGAAATTACTCAGATTTGGCTAATATCGTTAACGTTTTTTTTTTATTCAAAAATTCAAAATTCATGTTGTTGTATTATAGATTTATAATATTACTTTTTTATTTATACATACAATATAATAATATTTCTCAATAAAAAGTTAATTAATTTAGAAATTATTACTTTAATTTAAGCTGAAGTTTCGTTAATTCTCTGCCAGCAAAATTTTTTATGCACATAAAAGGGTTAAGTGAGTCAGCTGTCAGCTGTGAAAAATTGTTTCCATTTAAATAAATTGTTGAACAAAAATTCTATACGGTTTGTCTATATTTTGTAATTTTTTTTATGCATTTTCGAGGATTTCCAGCAACAATAAATAATGGAGAAGCGACAGCTACGAAATAGCACGTCCAAAACGGACGAATGGATAAAATGTCAGTCCAAACAACGGCCTGGCCAATATTATATGTTTAATAAGGGAACAGGCGAAACCAAATGGTGCGGTGAATTCAAAGATGATTTGCCATTAAACAAATCAAATGATAACAAGAAACCAGCATCGCTACCAAAAAATATAAGTAAATATAATCATTATCACAAAGAAATTTACACTATTTTGAATGCATTATTTGGTTTCAGGTACAAAATCCATACGAACACCAGCGCAGGATCGTCTTAAGCGTTTGCAACATGATTTGAAAAAGGACCATAAGGAAAAATTAACGCAAAAGCAAACTAACAGCACACGCCGACAACGTAGTCAAGAACAAGTGGTTGCAATTAGCAAAGAAAATGAGAATGGTGCGACTAAGGATACAAATAATTCAAAGAATAAAAATACAAAAACAAAATCCACAACAGTTATTACGCCAATAGATTCCAGAAAAGATTGTCAACCATCAACAAGTAAAAACGCTTTATTAGCCAACAAAGAAACGGATAAGCGAACAACAGCAAACAACTCGTCACAGAAAAATACTAAATCAAAACAAAAGTCACCGAAAAATCAAACCAAAAAACGTACATCCGCCGAGGCCACAGTAGAGACGACACAAAAACGGCAAAAACGTCCAAATCAAGAATTGCCCTTTAAAGAAAAAGACCCAGCAAACACCGATGATACAAAAATTGAGGCGACTTCACACCAACAAACTGCTGCTGTAAGTGGTATTGGTAGTGGCATTGTAAACAAAATAAAAGCTATATGCAAAAGTACCTTCAACAGTTATTGTAACGCTAAAAACGCTTTGAGCCAGAAACCATTAAAGCCATGTATTAAGCAAAATAATTTTAAAATACCAAAAAAACCAAGTGGAGCCCAGCATTCCACAAATTTGTCAGCACAAACTAAGGAACCTGAAAATCGCACAGCCTATAAAGATGGAAGCGAAAGTGATATGTCCAACCATAGTAATGATATATCTACTACACCAATGACTATTGTAATGAAGGGCACTGCAATGCCATCTAATGGCGATGCAACTGTGGATTTTAAAGCAATTGCCCTAACTACTATGCCCTCACAATTACATGGTGCATCGCAAAATCGTGCCTTGTCTTCTTATCCGCATGGAAGTGGTAAGTTTGTGTTAGTCATTAGGTACATACAAATATAATACTAACTAATTTGGAATATGATGCATTCAAGCTAATACGCGCTTAGAACGTTTACGTAATTCACTTAACCAACAAGCGTTCGCGAATGGCCAAAATCTGTCCACACCAACGCGCCTATGCGCTTCGGCGTGTTCATCAGCTTTAGCGTGTGTGCTACGCGACACGGCGATGGCGGACGAAAATACTGCAAATGTAGATGGTGCGTATAAGTTCAAAGTGTTTCTAAAAACCATAAATATTAATATTTTAAATAAATAAATTATATTTTGCATATTTCTAGAACCGATGGACTGGATGCCAATTGAAGAGATAAAAACGGAAACAATTGAGTTATCCAGCAATGAGTCCAGCAACCAACACGCTGAAACCATGGGCGAGTACTACGGCACCGTCAATGAAAATCTACTACGTTACGCAGTAGAACATAAATTTGGTGCGGCGTCTACAATTGGCAGATGGCTTAATGATTACTATTATTTTGTTTTGGATACAAATGTCTTGCTGCAACATTTAGCATTCCTTGAAGAGTTGTGCCATATGACATTGTGCGGTTAGTAGCAAAACTAGTGAACAAATATTAAATATGTGCATAAATGTCTCAACAACCTTCTCCAACTTTCAATTAGATACCGGCGGTACCATACTGTATATACCGTATAGTGTATTACAAGAGCTAGACAAATTGAAACAATTTGCGGTGGGCGATGGCACCAAAGTGCTGGCAGTGCGCGCTATCAAGTACCTTAATTCCAAGTTTGAAGCAAAGAATAAACATTTACAAGGTAAATATTAGTTTTAGCCCCATGCATAAATATATGTACAGTTATATGTGTGAATATTTACTGTAATTAGTGTTTTTTATTATAGCACAAAGCGCACTTAGCGAGCTGGAACATCTTGTCGAAATCACCTCGCCAGATGATCGCATAATCAACTGTTGTTTACAAGTCAAACAACAAATTGATCATGTTATCTTATTAACTGAGGATATAAACTTGCGTAATAAGGCTATTTGTAATAATATTTTAGTGTCGACAAAATCAGATCTTGTAGCCAAGCATACATAACGGCTACAGCTGTAAATTTAAATTGGCATTAATTGTATATTTAAAAAAATAAAAAAAACAGCTATATTTGAGGTTATGTCTGTCAAATGTGGTAAACGAGTGATACACTGCCATCCTAGACGTTTAAGTTTCATATAAATTCTATTCGCGTAACGTAGAATGTAAACTATTATAACAGCGATACTCTCAATCACTCGCAACATCACTTAATTTCGTTGAGTATTTTTGAACAATTTGTGATATGGAGAAAAAACATAACATTACATAGAATAACTATTAGTTTAGTTAGTTTAGTACTAAATTTAGTTTGTAAACTTCGTTACAAATATTCGCGGAAGTTACATTTGAAATATGTATGTATATGAATGAATTGATATTTTTATACTTGTATGGAATACACATTAGTTAATATTTTCTAATAAATCTGAATAATTTTCAAAGCAAACAAAATCCATTTTATATACACAAGTAACTGTATATTTAATTGAATTTAATTTTATGGGTCAGCTATCTTTTGCCGTTAAGATGGCGTCGCAACAAATATTTACACAAGAATTTGCACTTATGAACAATTTGCATGTCAGCTACAGTAGCGGTGAAGAATATATTTTATAACAAAAAATTTCATAAAATCTTTTCAAATCAAAAATTAAAATTTATTATTTACAGTGGAGTTTTTTGAAAAATCTTGAATCGCTCACTTAAAACTAAAAATCAAAAACTTTGGATTAACACCTGTTTAGAAAAGCATTTGTTAAAATTTAATATTAACGTGCCCATTGTAACTAACAGCACTGTAACCGTAAGCTATATCCGAACAACCAAATGGATTACCAATTTCGTTTTTTTTTTTTAATATTTTTGCTGTTGAACAATTAATAAAACTACCAATTTCTGTAGTCTTCATTATTTCAGCATTAGGTCTCTTTATTACGTTTTTATTTGTTGTACAGTGCAGAGGTGCGGTCACTACCTATACCGCGGTGAGTTTGAATTTCATATTTTTAATAGAGCAAAAATTACTTGAATTAGAAGAGTTATATTATAAAGTTATTAAATTTTGTTAAGTGTCTACACTATTTCTCATTTAGAAGTGCCACTAGTATAGAGCGTTCAGGTGTTGCACTAGTTAAGCGCGGTTCTGATTGTGTTTGCCCTCCACCAGTGGTGGCCCAAAACTATTCGTATAGAAAACAATTTGCCTGTAAACGTTCGAGCTGATCGGACAGTACTTTTTGCTCTGATGTTAAACGATGTATTTCCTGCTGTTCCTCCACGCTAATTGGCTTGCGTTTGGCTTTATTTTGCATTGTGCGTTTATAAGCTTCGAGTATTTCTTGATCAATTGTGTCGAGTTTACGTTTGATTTCTAAACGCTTAATTTCTTCAGCGGCAGATTCATGAAGCCTCTTCAATGCGGCACCATTGTACTCAGCTATTGCTGATAATTCGGCGATGAGACGTTTTATTTCTGCATGTATTTCATCTTCATCATTATTTGGAAAGTCATTCAGGTCCAATATACCTTGCTCGATTAGTTCTTTTTTGACACGTTTTTCAATATCAATACAATTGCGTAGTAACGACAGCGAACGGAAATTCATTTGTGCCGAGGAGTGTGTATTCTCACTACTGCTATTGCTGCTATCAGCCACCGCCGATGCCGCTAGTTCGCTGGGATTTTGTATCAGTTGCTCTTCTAATAGTGCCGACACTAAACGTTGTGTCAAAGGCCCAGTAACACATTCATCCATCATGGATTCAGCCTTTTTTAACATACTACTTGCTGCACTATTTTGCGGTTTTAAACGATTTGAATTGGCGTTTGGATTTGAAGCTTGTTGCACTTCCTTCATATCTTCCGTAGCCCAAATTGTTGAGTAATGCGGACCCAGTTCTGGTATTGGCGGCACTAGTGGTCCAGAATACTGTTCAAGGAGATCATCAAGCAAACGCAGGTCTTCATTTGTTAATGGCATACAATATGGCTCGACGGAAAGCCAAAATTTATTTGGCGTATCATTTTTGGGTAGTGTGACTTTTTGCAGATGATGATCACGATTTTGTCCATGACCATGAGAACTAGTCGGTGGCACATAGTCCATGCTATCATCCGTATTCGGTGCAACTGGACTGTTTTTAGCATGTTTTGTGTGTTTCAGTGACGAGGCGGGTGTGTGTTTGGGTTTACGTACACTTGACGTTTCCTCACGCTTACGTTTACCGCTAGACGAGCTATTTACATTGACTGTTTGTGTTTCGCCGCTAGCACCATGCTTCGTGCGTCGTTCGTTACGTCGTTCATCTTTATCCAAATTCTCATATTCGGACTTGAGTACACGATAACGCAGCGCAACACTCGAAAGTAATGTTTCAAGTTCCAGTTGTATATTGTCTAATTCCTCTGCCGCCAAATAGTCATCAACTGAACGTTGCAGCGCTGCATGATATGTGGGTAGTTGTTTACTGTTGTCTTTAGTTTTCATTAGTGGTATGTTTATGCCAACGCTATTGGCCTCAGCATCTGGCTGAGACGTTGTCGAAACCGGGCCGGTTTTGCCACCAGTTCTGTTACCACCACCTGATGAGCTGGCGCCGAAGCTGGAAGACTTAACTCCTTTTGAATTGCTTGTTGCCATATTTTGCGTATTTTTGTGCCAAAAATTGTTTTATTTTAAAATTTTTTTCGCAGTCTTTTCGCAATTTACGTTGTATTGATTGAGAATGATTTTATTCTGAGTTGTCAATGGTTGCGTTGCCAACTATAATAACCTTGTTGTTTACATATGTTGCGAGTGTTGCTCGCTTTAATAATAGCGCTGGTTTTTACATATACATATTACTTCATTAAATGAAATGCATTACAAATTTTAACAATAATTTGTTTTATATTTAACAAAGTAATTTAAAAGATATCGGATTAAATGTTTATATAGACAACGTGACAAAAATTTGATAGTTTAACGCTTTTAAGGTATTAGTTTCCCGTGAATCAGAAGTTTCTCAATGCTCCATTCGCATGCAACCCTGTAGAACCTGAGCGAATTGCAGTTTTGTTCGGCAGCTCTCAGCTGTTCTTTGTTTAGTCGCCGCTGGGAATTCGTCGCGTTAAGTATTTAGTTAAAGTGTTTTGTGTGCAACATATTTACTTTAAGTAAAGAAATTAACCTTGTTTTTATTAAAAAAATAAGTAATATTTAATTTACACAGTTCTTTAACTTTAAGAAAACAAAACTTATATTAGAATATAAAAAACAACCACTAATGAAATAAATAATAATAAGTTGAAGTACGTATCAAAAGTTGTGATATCAATTTTCAATTGGAAACAACAAAGTGTGATCAATTTAATCAGCTAGCTGCGGCACCACAACGGCGACTAATAGTAAAATACCAATTGACGCTGCTAAATTCAATGCAAAGGGTAATATTTAGAAATTTATTTATTTCGCCAACGTTTACTCATTCCAAAATTCCGCTTGATTTACGTTGGGTGGTCAATGAACACACAATAAATAAATTAGTTTTAATAAAAGTACGCGTTGTACTCTACATTTATTGTGAAACAGCTTTTAGTAAAGCGACGCGTAATAATCTGCTTTACTAATTAGTTGGAAGCAGAATTTAAGTACTTAATAGACAAAGTATATAACTTTATTTAGAGTTATGTACAGTGATGTGTTTACTTATGGTTATAGTAAAAGTTTTTTATATTTTATAACTATTTGAAATATTTTGTAGAAAAGTTCAAGATCTGCTGCAACAAATTCTAGGAAACATTTTCAGAAATAATTTACAAGCAAATTTAACGTCATTAATATATTGTTTTCATGTGACTAGGTCTGCAGTTATGCGTTAAATAGCTTTTATGTCAACAAATATATAACGTTACTAATTTGGAATATAGGCATAAACATGTCTTAATGGAACACAATGTTTTAGAAATATCAAATAGGTGCATTATATCACTTTATTTATAACTCGGCCTTTACCTTGGCCAAGTTAGATATCAATTGTTTTTATATTTTCTAGTTAATTTTGTTAAACTAATTAAACTTATTTTAAATGTCTTTGTTAAAATTCGTACAGCGATGCATTGCTGCCTGATTCAAATTATTTTAAGTGAGTAAGTGACATAAGAAAGTAGCAACTGTCAGTCTATTGGCATTTCCTACGGCTATTAATGTTATTTGTATATAGTTGCTACAATTTTAAATCTTAATAATAAAATTTTAATAATCGTGATTCCGTACTCTGCAATCCAACGCCAGACAAAACAAAGAGTCGATAAAGCCAAGAGCGTTTATGTCAACAACCATTTAATAATTAAAAATAGTAAACAAAACAATTATGGCTTTGTCTACCAAATCACATCGACTGGTGCAGCACATGTCAAACAGGTTTACAAGATGTTTTTGGGTGCATGGAATAAATTTACAATGCATTTGTAACTGTACGCACCCTTTTAATAAAAATAAGCAGCTACACATGATTTTTGTAGCCGCATGACAGCAATTTTGTTTGCGTATGAGCCTAAAAATTTACAGTAATCAATTTACCGCTTGATATACATATTTATATACATATGTACACAAAATCAAATTTCCTTAAATTCCACCGCAAAAAGTTTCCAATGTGTAATTTACAAAACGCGCCTGCATATTCGACAGACAAACACACAAAAAAAAATTTTATTTTAATTATGTGGTATTTCTTTGGCCAATATTTACCAAGTGCTAATTATAATTTTTGTAATTGTTTGACTCTTAACTGGCGTCATTGTTTACTTACTTTGTATGTATGTGTGTATGTGGCGCTGATTTAATTTTTCCTTTAAATTTCTAAATTACTTTATACACCAATACATATGTAGCTATTTACCCGTAGGGAAGCTAACAATTGCAGCAAAACGAGATAAGCACGACCCAAAACAAACTCATTATAGTCATAATCAGCGATAAGAACTCGACAATCTCTTGGCGAACTATTTAGAATGCTTTTATAATTTATTGTAACTTTCAAGTTGAAGCTGAATTGTATGAAACGCCGTAATGAAGAACAGCTTGTTTCGAAAGCGTATGCATTTTTATTGAAAATTGAAGTGTGGTGGAAGTAGTTACATGTGTGTAGTTACATGGCAAGGGTGTAAGGAAAGGGTAATGGGGAAAATTTCTTACGTTTTATATATATAGTACATATGTATATTTATCATAAAAATTGTTTGAGAGATGTAAGTAGGTGCTTGTAGCATTTGTCAAATATTTATTGACAATAAGTTCATGTTTTGCTCTTAAATAACTTTCTAAAAATTTTATGTTTGCACATTTGCAAGCTTATCACTCCATTTTTCAACTTTAAAACGTTTACGACAGCTTGTATAGATAATTTAATGCTCTCGACTTGAAGTGATCCCATCTTCAACATATCGATCCATCAAGTTTCAAGTAGATATATTTATATGAGCTTACTTGGCTAAACGTTTTAAATAATTCTTGAGCTTACCCATCTACAAATATATGTACATACATACATACGCACAGAGTCTTGTAGAAATGTGTAAACTGAGCATATACTCGTACATTCATATACATATATTTGTGCTTGTGCATCAAAACTATTGGTCATAGCAGTGCAATGTGCCGTCAAATATGATTGATTGCCTGGGAATGCTTGTCGAATAGATAACACCTTGTATGTCGTATCAAATGTCATATTAAGTGGATTAATCGAGTAAATTAAATACTCATATTTCACTATGTGTACTCGTTCATTAAAATACATCCGTAATTATAATTAATAACGGTTACGGAAGTCAGTTCCACAATTCAATATAAAAAATAAAAGTTTTCAAATATTTTAAAATTTTTGTTTTTCAATTAACGACAAAAACGATCTTAAATATATTATTTCCTGAGCAGAAGTTTGTAACACTCAGAAGGCAACGTTGGAGACCCTATAAAATATATACGAGTACATATAAATGTACATATATGTATATAAATGATCAGCGCGACGAACTGAGTCGATGTAGCCATGTTTGCCTTTTCTCCTCAAGAAGGAGCTCATTTGTCGAAACCGGCGATACCACTATAGCATATATCTGCCATACAAACTGAACGATCAAAATCAAGTTCTTATATGGAAAGCTTTTTTATTTGACAAGATATCTTTACAAAATTTGACATGGATTATAGCTCAAGGCAACGTTTTAATCTCCGAACGAATTGTTCAGATCGGACAACTATATAATACAGCTGCCATGCAACTAACCGGTCAAACTCGAGGAAACTCTCTTATTGTCTAGGTATCTTTACAAAATTTGGCGTAGCTTATTATACAATTCATTATTAAATAGAGTTTATTATATTTTTTCGGTTATTTATGCGAATATATTTTATCAAATGCTCTTCTGGCATTCTGGTTTTGCAAATGTTTGAAGTAATTTGCTTGCAAAACACTCAAACTCCATATTTTTCACCAATGCCAACAATTTGCTGCAAATTGGAAGATCATTCTCTCGAATTCCATTATACGTGACAGCCATCAATCATAAGCATAGTATTATCTATTGCAATCACCTTTGATTCACGATATATATATACATATGTATGTATGTACATATTTACGTCCTACACTAACGAACAATATCTTTATAAACTTTTTATACAAACTTCGGTACTACGCAAATAAAATTGTCAATATATAATATATATTTATATATAATATGTAATATATAATAAAATATATACTAGGGTACATATGTTAAAATTTATATATACCTCATATTCATATCACACATTCACTCTTCGATGCCATCCGTTTTACGTTTGCACATAAAATTTGCCTTTTCAAATGTCCCCATAATCAAAATTTACCCATCTCATTAGATATATCTCAGTAAAATGTTATTATTTTCGCAGTTATTGTCGCGTTATCGGAATTTTTTCTTGGATTGTGCAAGTTGATGAATTTATTGTATTTTTTTATTTTAATTTTAGAATTGCTGTATTTGTGCTATAACAGAGTAAATTTTTCTTTGTTTATTTTTATTTTTTATTTTTTTTTCTGTGCAAAAGATTATTTTAAAAGGGAATTTATATACACTCCCACACACGGCCCACGATAATATACAAGTATTTAATGATAACTTAAGAAATTTAGGAAGTTTCAGCAGATCCAATGACTATGTAAATTACCTAACAACTTTGCTCTGGGAAAGACATTGAAATTGCCTACAGAAATTCTAAAGCCTTCAAGTTCATTGTCACCGGAGTTCGCATTCTCTCACTTTTTAAGGATGCAAAACGTAAAAAAACAGTTTTCCTACCAACGAAACCTGAAGAAACGGTATATTATCTCTTTCTGGAGCACTGAATACTGAGTTAATTAATTTGGCTGTTATACACAGTAGACGCTTCCTTTCCGTTGATAATGTAGTGTTCGGAAAGTAAGAGTTAGGGAAAGGGATTAAGTAACCTCGCGAAAATCCTCTGCCGCTCATTTAATACTCCTGTTTGATATTTCAACCCCTTACTAAAAGTTCGTTTTCACACGATTTATGACACACCTGCATAGGTTTAGGGATTCCGTTGTCTCATTCGCTTAATGTCATGCTATGTGCTGGTATGGCTTAGCTGATCAAATTTGACCCGGACTGTCGATAAATATTTTCACTAATTTTAATAGAAATATTTACTATCGCTTTCAAAATTGGTTTCTGAGCCAATAAAAGCGTTATTTTTCATACACGTGTTATAAGCCACTGCTGAGAGCGATTACAGTTCTTTTAGAGAATTTTAATTATATCTGTTATATCGATTTATAGGCGATGTTGAGATCCTCTGCTATCTCTCTCATGCCCACCCGACGATTTTCATGCACTGTTTCTTTAACATTTTCGGTGATATCATTATTAACAGAGATAGACGACTCACCTGAAGCAAGTTTTCGATGACTCTACGGCCTTCACTGAATGCTTTGCGCCACTCAAATACTTGTGTTCATAATAAAGTAAACTCCCCAAAAACATTTCTGCAACATTTTCAACCATTCCACAGCCGTGATTTCATTGGAAACAGGTAAATTTTTTTCTCTGTAAAAATCGCTAGACAAACTTCCCACGAACATAAAACTAGCTTGTACCAATCCAACCAAATTTTTGTCTATCGATTCGGTTTGCGCCCGTAGTTGATTTGGATCAGTCCGGGTCAATTTTGATCTTGAGTATATATGGTCAAAAATTACTTTTAAATGTACACGTTGTACGCAGGACCCCCTTTTCCACCGATACTGTCATCAATTACACTAAGTGTCTTTACAAATTTACTTGAACGTGTGTTTAATTTCCATCCAGTATAAATTACTTATAAATCAACACTCTCGCTTCTCGGTAGCCAATTTCAGAATTTAAGGGTATTTCTGTTATCAAAGCAGCTTAAGGCCTTTGTTTTCGGGAATTATGCACTTTGAAAACATAAATGTAGCTTATTTTAGCCTTCCTGCTGTATCAATTGTTGTCATTAAGGTCTCTGTAAATAATTAACTAATACTCATAGACAACTGGTTTAGAGGTTTACATCGCATAAATGCTGAAAAGATAACAAAATGCATTGTCCCACACAGCTCTTAACAAGGTGAATGAATTTATTTGTACTGCAATTATTTTATTGTTGTTATTTTCCTGTCAAACTCCGAAAATTAACACATCACTAGTTAAGGGAAATGAAGGTAAATGAATACAATTAAGCAATTCAACTCTGCTTGCTAACATAATTTACACATCTAAATAAATCTGTTAACACAGCTGATAGTCACCTAATGCTAAGTGACCAGTGATTAAATGCAATTAACGTTTCATTTCAAGCATCTTTTAACATTCTTCATGAGGTTAATTTAAAAATATTGCTTGTCCTTGCTTTTATGTGGCTATCTATTCATTTCATTGGACAGTTAAGTAAACAGCTCTAGTTGCTTGGGTATGGGAAAAATACTTCCAATAACACACCTGCTTTTCATTACTTTCAGTTTGATAGTAAATTTTCTCCACTTGCATGCGTGTGCGTATAGCAAGAAAAATACAGTGACGGCTACATAATTACATACACATTTCACATATGACTATACTTCCAGCCGAATATAAAATCTATTTACAATATATCCATTCTTGGTACAAAATCACAATATTGTAAATTAATTGTTATTAAACTGTGGTAGGTTAATCGGAAGAACCGATATCCTTACATTTGGATCGTGTAAAAATATAAACAAATTTTGACTGTTTTGAAGGAGAGAGAAGAGTTCAGAGGAGAATTTTTTTTGCATAACTTTACAAATGTTTCAGTTATATTTTGGAGGTGTAAAAAAATTATAGAATTTAAGTTGATAGTCTAAAAATTTGCGGCTTATTTGGGTACTGATTTTACCCATTTTCAGTAAGTAACATAAATGTTTGTAGGATATATAATTTTATGGAAAAAAAGGCAGGGCTATATTCAAATATCAAAATGATTACCTAAGTTTACCTTAATAAAGTTGTTTGATAAACAATATCGTTTTGTGGACGTTGGCAGATCTATTACCAATTATTTCCTTCAAACTTATCTCTCACAAAAGCTTTTCTTATGGCATAAAAGTGTATACAAATATCTATACCTTGATTTTGATTCGTCAGTTTGCCATACAGCTGCCATATATGCTGTAGCAGTCCGGTCTGAACAAAATGTTTGCAGCTGATAGCGTTGCCTTGGCCAATAATCGATGCCAAATTTCATGAAGATAATAAAGTTTTCAAATAAAACAGTTTTCCATACAAGGTCTTGACGTAGAACTGTCAGTTTGTATGGCAACTATATCTTATAGACGTTTGATATCGACAGTGCCGACAAATGAGCAGCTTCCTAAGCAGAAAAGGAGTGCAAAATTTTGTTAAAAAAAAGTATTTTTAATTGAAACCGAACCCCTTGAGTAAACCGTTATTTTTGATTGGTCCCCCAGGCATTAATTCCAAGCTTCAAATCTTTTCTATGACCAACACGAAAAATGCATGTATATATATTTTAAGTAATATCTTTCCTTTAATTAATCTCTACATTTTATACCTACAAAAACCGACTTAGTAATTACTCCAGTAATGAGCAGTTAGTCTCAAGTGTCACTAATTCTGTGACCGCCACTGTAGATACATAAGTAAGCACTTTTTGCACCTATATAGATATATTTCTAAAAATTACATAAATAATTTACGTGTTATTCCGAGACGCGCCGAGCCTATTTGTAATATGCGCGAAAATATAATATTATGTTATTTTCCAAATGCGATCACGTGTTATATATGTCTGTATGTTAGTAGCTTAGATATGGCCATTGCATGGCATTGCATGGGGGATAACTATTATTATCAATTTATTACGTATATTTATTGTTTTTTTTTTGCTGCCACAAACAGGCGCTGAAAGTGGGTGGGATTTGTTGGGCACATAATATCACGCATAACAACAATTGGCTTTTGTGGCGTTGAAGCCATTCATGTCGGTAAGTGGTCTATAAATGGCGCTATTAAGTTATTACTCACCTAAGAACGGGGCAATAGTTTTTTTTTTATGTAGAGAGACTTGCTTTTCGTTAAGTACAAGGAATTCCCGTTAGTAATAGTGTTGTTATATTTGCTTAAAATGTATGTGATACTATCTACTTTGAAATGTGGTCAGCTCTTTGCAATAAAAGTGCTTTGTTGAAAAAGCTCCTTCCGATATTTTTTAAAGTAAGATAATTTTCTGCACATAGCAGTACTTTTGAGTTTCTGAGTAGGTTTATGAAACAATTAATTAATCAAAACATTTAATTTATTTTAAGAAGATCCTTCGTACATTGTTCTGGACAATAACCAGAGTTCAATAATTCGGTAAAGAACTGTAAAAATGCTGCAGCAGGTTTTTATAATGGAAATGCATCGAATAGTTTATGTAGCAATGACCTAAAGCCATTACGATCTTGTACTTTTATGTCATAGAAAACGTGTCTCATGCGAATCATCCCTCCACCTCTGTTAATGACGATAACATCGAAAAAGTTAAAAAAACTTGAAAATTATCGTGTTGGCACCAGAGAGTTAGCAGAGCCATCTTTTATGAATCGACGCAACACATTTTGTTTAATTTTTTGGTTTGAAGCGTGTTAATGATAGACTCGTGGGTTTATGAATATGACGTCGAAAGTGTCTAACTATCTAGCGAATGGTGCTGCCAAAATTCGCTGAAGGCCATTTTAGCCGACGCTTATATCAAGTGTATGGAAAATTAGATCAATTTACACGTTACAAATGGTGAGCCTTACACTACCTCGCCTCGCCTTCGACCCTGTGGCTTACTTAAAAGCAACAGACATACTGGGTCAACAAGACCGAATAAGAATTATTGCTACTCCACTCTTTATGAAGCACTTTTTTCGTCAATTGGATATCTTCTTAGAAGTGTGGTGTAAAGCTATACCAAAAAGGTCCAAAAATCACTGTTAGATAAGAGACTCAAAGTCACACAAAGTATTTTCACCGAATAATATTCATTAACTTGATCTAAAAAGCTAGTTTTATCTATTTAAACTTTCATAAACTCTTTCTTGTGAATAATCCTGTAACAAGACTTATTGCGGTTGAAGGGTACTGGCTACTTTTAAAGCTTACGGTTGCCACTATGATTATGAGTTGTACAGCTTCTACCTATTTATATTCGACTTTTGCTTTCTAACAGGGTTTGCATGATTATTATAAATTGGAATTAGAATTGGAATTAGGTCTATATAACCTTGAAATCATGCAGGTTATAATGTATTTACCGTATGAAAAAAGAAAGCTTTTTACATAATTTCAAAGCACCCTTATCTAACCGATTCTTTGGTTCAGAGAAAGTTTATCCTAGATTCGATTATAAAACTTGAAATATTTGCTTATACTCTGAAAAGAAACTGATTGCCAGTTTATTTAAAATCATTCAATAATCTAAAATTATGCTTGTTTCGAACAAATGTCGAGTTGTCGTTAGAAATTTTCATATCTTATTTTCATAAGCCTGTAATCATCTCCAAAAAAGGTTATATTTTGGTGGCATTTGTGCCGGTCGTTCTAAAAGAAACTGGAGTTGAGTATAGGTATTTCGCAGCTTGAATAGCAGAGATGGTTAATACTCAGTTGTTCAAGGCCAGAAATTCGAGATAAGCTTATTCAAATAGCGTTAATCTCTCGTACTAAATTTTCAGAATGGTTTTTTATTTGCATCTTGAATAATAGTAGAATAATATTAGGGCTAACATCAGCAAAAGCAATTGAAACTAAAAATGGCATCAGCTGATCTGGCGAACCTCGCATTCTATACGAAGTTCAAGACGCTGAGTTTAAATTATTGATATTTTCTGTTCTACAACAACAACAAATTAAATTAGTAACTCTAATCTTCAGAAGATTTTCTACATTTGTTTGTTGTCACACGATGTAATTAACAGTAATACGCTATTATACTGTTTATTCCCGTTATCTAATATATCTGTAATTCCAGATAAATCGTTGCGGCATAAACGCTATAAAACCAGTTTATCAGCCGTACAAGCATTTAATTAATTTTCCAATTTGCATTTTTAAATTTTTGATAAAAAAAAGTTTCCTCTCACACAAAGGGTGCTTGCGTTTATATATTTACTTAGTATATATATGTATGTATATAGGAGTAATTCCCGTTAAGCGCATCTTCAATGTAAGCAAGTGATCTCCCTTTGCATACGGATTATCAATTGCGTGTAATTGTTGTTGGTAAAAGCCAGTTTTGATTTATTGAAGGTAAATAAACCACAACAAGCCATCACATATGTATAAGCTCTGTGCGCGTATGTATGTGTGTATATGCTGATTTGTGCTTATAAATCCCAATCAATCGCTGTGCAGTTTATTGCTGTTTGTATGTTTGTATTTAAATTATTGTATAAAACGGTTATTTTGGGTTACCAGCAGGTTTGGGTGGCTGACAACGACAATCAAAGCAATGCCATAGCGGCTATTGATCAAACAGGGCGCGTGATGTCTTGTGATTGATATTTTTTTTAAATAAAAATTCGAGGGTAATTAATATGTCAGGACATACAAACATATATGTAAAAATATGCATATGCATATGTATGTATTTAATATACTTTGAAGTGGCTGTTTGCACTGCGATTCATCATAATTTATCAAAATCTTGAGCAGCGGCATAGACAAGCTTGCATAAATGTATAATTTATTTATTTTTTTGATTGATGGCGGCGCGTCACTATTTAAATATCTTAGATAAAAATACGCAACTGAGTCAAACGGCTTGCTATAACGAGCAATTTGTATACCCTAAACGGGGTAAATTAAGTTTGCTCAGAATAAAACATCAGAGACCCTAACCAATATATGTGTACAAATGATCAGTATAACGAGCTAAGTTGATTTAACGAAAAAAAATTTTGCACACTTTATTTTCTCCCAAAAAGCTGTTCATATGTCAGAAACGCCGACAAACTGGCATGGGGTATTGCCTAAGACAATCCATTTTGAAGCCTGAAGAAGAAGTTAGTACTTTAGAAGCTGCTTTGCTTAATATGTTGAAAAATTCGACCTTCTCGTATGGTTTGGCCATAACCCAAGTATGCTACTCTGATAACATTTTCTCACCTGAGATCCTGGACATCAAGCCCAAAGAACTGCGTGTAAAATTCCAAGCTGGTATTGCCATTTTAGCCGCTGTATCGTTAGAGATTGATTATCCAACTATTGCTTCGGCAGCACACAGTGTTACCAATGGTTTCAAGAATCTATTGGCTATTGCTGCTACCACAGAAGTGAATCAAATTTTTTACTGCTGCTGCTGCCGCCGAAATAAAGAAAGAAGCGAAAAAGGAGGAGTCGGAATCAGAAGATGACGATATAGTTTTCGGTCTCTTCGACTAAACAACCCAATGCGTTAAGATCGAACCACTATAGCATATAGCTGCCATACAAAGTGACCGATCAAAATCAAGTTCTTGTATGGATTTTTTTTTTATTTGTGCAGGGTATTATAGCTTCGTTGCAGCCGAAGTTAACGTGTTTTTTTTTAATATACTTTTTGCATTTTTTGTAGAGTAAATCACACACACATTTCACTTAAATGTAAAATAATGTTATTTTCACCTTTCATTACAGCGGCGGACCATTGAGCTGACAAGATGAAATTCGCCGAACATCTCTCGGCGCACATAACGCCGGAATGGCGCAAACAATACATTAACTATGAGGTATATTTCGCAATACATACATGCATATTTAAAAATATTTAAACTTTCGACTAAAAACTCTAAAAAATTTAATACAGGAAATGAAAGCCATGCTCTATATGGCTGTCGAGGAAGCGCCCTCTGTCGACAGCGTTGAAGATGAGGTACTCAAACGTCATTTCGCCAATTTCGATGAGAATTTCTTTCATTATTGCGACAAGGAATTGAAGAAAATCAACACATTCTATTCGGAAAAGTTAGCCGAAGCGACACGTAAATTTGCCACACTCAATGCCGAGCTGAAGACGTGCATCGACGAATCGGAACGTTCGGCGAAAAAATCGAAATCGTTGAAAAAGTCCGGTTTACCGCATCGCAAAGCGGCCGAACTGAAACTGGCGTTCAGTGAATTTTATCTAAGCTTGATTTTATTACAAAACTATCAGAATTTGAATCATACTGGTTTTCGAAAAATTCTCAAGAAGCATGATAAGGTAGGTGTGTTTGTGTGTAGAGGTGTAATGTAATTTGTGATATCACAAAATTAAAAATTTTTTCTGCCTTCTACTTGTTGTTTCCAGCTACTACGCGTCGACACCGGTGCCAAGTGGCGTCAGGAGTATGTGGAGGCCTCACATTTCTTCACCAATAAAGATATTGATAATATTATCAATGAAACGGAGACCACGGTCACGACTGAATTGGAGAGTGGCGATCGTACGCGCGCTATGAAACGTTTGCGTGTACCGCCGTTGGGTGAACAGCAGAGTCCGTGGACTACATTTAAAGTTGGTCTCTTTTCCGGCAGTTTTATTGTGCTTGCCATAGTGGTGGTGTTGTCGGGTAAGTTTGCAATTTCGGCCTTACAGTCCGAGAAATATTTCTTATTTTAAAATCACGATTAGTTTGGTATTATATTTAAAAACTTACTGAATTTGAGTTTAAAAAAGCTATGGCTTGAAGTATTACCATTACTAAGATGCAATCTGGCAACCTCATAGAACTTTCTGCTATAACTTTTCGATCGTTCTATGCCAGTTGCTTCTACATAACCGAAACGGACCCGGATTTATAACCGTTTAAGGAATTACCACTGGTTAGCGTTATTCCAAATTATTTGAGGAAATTTTTCAACTAAATATTTTTGAACTCGCATTTTAAAATTTGTGTTTATACCAGTGTTTATCTTTACAACCGGACTTTTCTTGCTCCTTTTCATAATTCTTTTTACTCAATAGTTTTTTAAATATATTTTATGTATTGAAATCCGATATCTCTGTCTCATTTCAGCAATTTTCCACGATATTACCGGCGAAAATCTCAAAGTCACTTTCCGTCTGTATCGCGGTCCGTTGCTTATAATTGAATTTATCTTTCTAATTGGCGTTAACATCTACGGCTGGCGTTCATCAGGTGTCAATCATGTGCTCATCTTCGAATTAGATCCACGTAATCATCTCTCCGAACAGCATCTAATGGAATTATCTGCGATATTTGGCGTAATATGGACGCTGAGCATGTTAAGCTTCTTGTATAGCGCCAGCTTAAGCATACCGGCTTTCATTAATCCGCTTACGCTAACCATTGTGATGGTGTCATTCTTGCTGAATCCATTTCATGTATTTCACCACGATGCGCGTTTCTGGCTATTGCGCATAACTGTTAGTTTTATCTTTTCAAATATTTATGTGTGTGTATAAATACTCCTTTAATTTACAGGGTCGCATGGTAGCAGCACCATTTTTCCATGTCGGCTTCGCCGATTTCTGGCTTGGCGATCAGTTGAATTCACTCAGCACAGCCTTGCTGGATTTCGAGTATTTGGTGTGTTTCTATTTCACCAATGGCAATTGGTTTGAGGCGCTCGACGCTACAACATGCATGGAAAAAGATTTTATTATACGTCCTATATTTAATTGTTTGCCAGCGTGGTTCCGTTTTGCGCAGTGTCTGCGTCGTTACCGCGATTCGCGTGAAGCCTTCCCTCATTTGGTGAACGCGGGAAAGTATTCGAGTACCTTTGCTGTGGTGATATTCGCAACATTAAGGAGCTTTAATAATCGTTAGTATTTGCTATTACAACTTCATACTAGATTTGCAGACCTTGTAGCTTTCAGCGCGTATTTGACTTAAGATAATGTTAGCTGAATAAAGTGCTGAATATGGTCACACTTCTATACTAGAGTTTCTAGGCCGTTTGGCTTAATTCAGCTATGATTATATTAAGCTGAATAAGTGCTGAACGCCAAAACACCTAGAAATTGTAGTGTCGTTTTAAGTTGTACAATAATCGTTAGTATTTCGAATTGCAACTCCATACCAGATTTTCAAGCTTTCAGCGCTTATTCATGGTGAGATAGTGTTAGTTACACCATTTTATCAGAATTTTTAGAACGTTTGGCTTAACTCAGCTGTAATTATCTTAAGCTAAATAAGTGCTGAATGCTAAAGCGTCGGAAAAGCTTAATAGTGAGCTTATTATTAACCCACGGCTGCATTTTTCAGGCTACTACTCGAGCACATTTGACAATCCATACACCTGGCTGTGGATTATTGCCTCCATCATCTCCTCATGCTATGCTTACACTTGGGATATAAAGATGGATTGGGGTCTCTTCGATAAGAATGCGGGCGAGAATACATTTTTGCGCGAGGAAATCGTTTACTCAACAGTAAGTGCTAATTAAATCTACAAACAACAAACTAGAATATACCATATACCTCACACATTTTTAACAACCACAGGGCTTTTATTACTTCGCCATCATCGAAGATTTGGTGCTACGTTTCCTATGGGCCTTATCATTTTATCTAACTGAAATGAAAATTGTTAGCAGCGATATTATGTCATCCATAACGGGTATTTCGGAAGTATTCAGGTAGGTACAAATTAAACAATAACAAGCTTAGTCTATTTTATAACATATATTTTCCATTGCCCAATAGACGTTTCGTTTGGAACTTCTTCCGCTTGGAGAACGAACATCTCAACAATTGCGGTAAGTTCCGTGCCGTACGCGATATCTCAATTGCACCCATCGATTCATCCGATCAAACACAAATATTACGTATGATGGACGAACCGGAGGGCGTTATAAATCGTTATACGAAAACTAATCGTCCCAAACCGAAAAAGAATAAGGATCCTGAGAAGCGTAGCTTGCTACAGCCACGCGGTTCGCTGCAGGATCTTACTATCGATATTGATGGCACGAAAAAATTATAAAGTCCTGCAATAATAATGATCTGTAACTAAATCTTAAGTATCGATTAAGTGCTAAAAAGTCCTGACCACTTAAGTAACAGTAAAGAAATGTATGCTTCCATTGTGAGAATTGTAAGGAATATTAGTGAAAACATAAAACTTAGCCAATAAGCCATAATAGTATGTACATATACATTTGCCAGCCATCTATTACACAAACATAGTTACATTTAGTACAATTTTCTTTGGGCATATTAATTTAAGTACTTAAAGTTAGAGCAGTTTATTTTATATACCACCGCTAAAAGCCAACAGTACTTTCAAACGTTTCGAAGTGTGAAAAGTGAAACACCCACTGATTGCTATAACTCTTTGAGCACAACAATATATATTCGGCAGTATTACTTATGTATGTAATTACAAATAATTTTTCGTACTTACACATTTTTGAAAAGCTTATTTTAGTTTCGTTTGTTATCTTTTTATGCTAATCAATACGTGCAAGTAAATGTGGTATGTAATTAAAAAGACAAGACACTAAAACCCTTTAGACTTACTATACATTTAAATATATACTAAAAACCTTTAGACTTAGTATACATTTAAATATATACTAAAAACCTTTAGACTTAGTATAAATTTAAATATATACATTTATAAAATAAAAATAAAAAAATATTTGTAGGTTATGAAATAAAGTAACCGTTAGCGACATTACCTTTTGTTAACCCAAAACATTCCCCCAATTGGACTTTTGCTAAAATGTTAAACATTTACAAAACTATATATTGATAATTAGCTTAAAATTCAAAAGAATTAAAAAAAACATTTTTGCCTATAAAAAAATTTTGTTATTGCTCTTTTTCTTACATACATACATATGTAGTTAGCCCTAGGCGCATTTGCTAAATATATGAAAATAAAAATACGAAATTGCAGACACTCATTTTATTGATGAGCGATTTATACATATACCCCTATAGACCAATATATTGTTGTCTAAACCGTAATAATACTAATTCTAACTGGATTGTAAGCGTAAAGTATAGTCCAACGAATTATTGTAATACTAATAATACTAACTAATGCTACACAATAAAACATCATATACAGAAAAAATCATAAATATAATGTATGCTTAAAAATTTTTTAGAGTCAATAAATTGTCAACGCTGCATATATTGCTTTTTTAATAAATTTAAGATAAAAATAAAAATACTAGACTGAGTAAATAATAATGAAATAATGCGAATCTTCTCGATAGTTCTCGATTGCTTTTAATCCACATTAGAATTTTAAATAAATAAATAAAGAAAATACACACTTTTAACAGAAATGTTTTGCACAAAATTAGTGAATATTTTCAATAGGTGAGATATTGACAACACCAACCCTTAAAAAAAAAATTATTTTCAAAAAGAACCATACATTACAGGACAGGACGTACCGTTCCCACGACAGTCGGGTCTCCGTAACCGAAACGGACCCGCATTTTATACGGTCAAGGACTGTCAACTCGGCTGAATGCTGCCGCTACAACAACAACAAACACAACAGGACAGGACGTAAATACTCGTGCTGATGATTATAAAAATATTAATTCATTTATTTTTTTACATTACGGTTTGATACTTGTATTGTATTATGCATTATGTTATATCTAATCGAAGCTCTAGAATCAAGAAACCAAGATTATATAACATGTTATACAAGTAACTTTTCTAAAGTAGGAACCACTTCGTTAGTAATTTAACTTGCCGAGTGAAAGGGTGAACGCTCTATTAAAACATGGATAAATTCCTTGCAATATTATACACAAATGCAATTATTGAAAGCGACAATATTTATGTGTCAGTCCGGGTCACAGTTGATCATATAATAATCACAAAACTAGGCTTTGCAAAATATTTTTTCCATGTTCTTTATTCCTAAAACTCCTTTCAACCTTTTCACGATTGATTGAATGCTGAACTATAAAATCAGCGGTTCGGTTTTCTGCCATAAAGCTACTCCCCTTTGCCGTTTGAGACCTTAGCGTGTTTCAAGTAAAGGTAATAATTATGATGTCCGACACATTTGCTAGATGAGAAACATTTAAACTTGTCTCTCATCTTTGAAAATGTTGAAAATGAGTTTTGCGGTGGCTTCTACATCAAGAGTGTTAATCGGTATATGAAAATTGTCGTGTAAGCATCAAAAATATAACCGATATTAATTCTTATAAAGCAAAATAATTATGTTGAAGTTATTATCCAAAAAGAAAACAGAATAGAAGTCGCAGAAAAATTATCTTCAATGAATTCCCAACAAAAGTCACCACTCAGTGATTCGGTAGAATTGATTGTTTGTAAATTCCGGAACCACAATGAATCAATTTACGAAATATACAGAAATTCGTTTAAAGAACCATTTATTAAAAGTACGAAAAATTGGATATACGAATGGCTCACAATGATTATTGTTTAAAACCTATTTTTGTGAGGTTATTACTACCTGAATACAAGTACATATTCATCTTAATATTATATCATCACAACATTTTTATTTTTGGTCCCACTGTACATTCGACAAACAAACAAATTCTAAAAACTAATTGATGCAATTTTTTAACTTCCCGCTAAGAAAATGGAAAATTTTCTAAAAATCGGGAAGATATTGGTTTCACCCCATTTTGCAAAAATCGAGAATCAGGATAAAAATTTTTTCCAAACGACTTGACCGATCGACACCAAAAACTAATCAGTTCTAAACCTTGAAGAAACACATCGTTTGCCGACAAAAACATTGAAGTTGTAAATAAAAACGAAATTGTAATCGACAAGTGGCAATGTTTTCAAAACTAATTTTAGATTTTATATACATACATGCGTATATAGTTATGTATACTTATGTATACTTATGCACGCGGCATATAATTTTAGACACATCAAACTAATGCGTGCGAGATTTGTGATTCTGCAGTTTCCGACACGCATTGGCTCGGTTGAGCGGCGAAAAGATTTCATGTAAACAAATTTCCGTGCAAGCAACGTTCGGTAACCGTAAAAAAAAGTTACGCTGAGTGTTATCAAATATATTGTTATCAAAAATTAATCTTAAGTTAAATTGGTCTCTTAATAGAAAGAGGAGAGCGTAAAAGAGAGTCCCACAAAAATTTAATTACTAGGTTCTATGAGCACATGGGCGAAGTTTATACATATATACCATATACATTCTTAAAAGTATATATGTAAATACGATCTGTATGAAAGTAAAAAGAGTGATTTTGAACTAGCTTGGGCTGTTTAGTCAAGGCCAAGTTTTAATGAGATTTTCAGTTCGATAAACCGTTGAGTACGTCCTTTAGAGCTGGTAAAGCAGTTCGGTGATTATCTTATTTGCATTTGGAAATAGGTAGAACTCTTGGATTTCACCGGTGTCTATAAATAAAATGGTATACCCGTTTTATTTTTTCAAATTTTAATTTTTTAAGTTGGGTCTAAATAAAAACTTAGAAAGCATTTAAACGACGACAGTAAAGTTAAGGCCAGTCGGCCCTCCAGATACCTAGGTCCCATGGGTTTAACCTATCCTAAGCTATGGGTCACTATCTACCTATAATTTTTTATGATTTTAAGAGCTTGAAAAAAGAACATCATTGAGTTTTATTGTGGAAGTTGCCAAAAATCACAATTTTGGACCAATTTATTTTATTGGTAATTTTTTTTCCACTAGATTCTGGAGCATAGAAAAAGCTTTTATTACAAGAAGATCAATTTGTTCTTGGTTCCCAACTGCTAGGTTCAACAAAAGGGTATTGGTGCACAAACCTATATTTTACCACCATCGACCATCGGGTCTGGGAAGTATCATTCAGTGTACCGATTCGGTTTCGGTTCGTTTTATATATTAAAAGAGCAAAGCTCTCGAGATAACTTTCCTGTATTGGAAATGACGGGTTCTGATTTCACCTCGTCCTCTCTTTGGTAGCTGATTATTCAATATGTTCAATATATTGTCAAGTCAGAAAAAACGCATTTTTTGTGAATTCTTTTTGTAGAAGCGATTTATTTAATTAATTAATAAAAATAATGTATAATTGTAGAATTTAATGTACTTTGATAATCCATGATTCAGTTTGAACAATTTTGTACGCCTTTGATCCTATGGGCGACCTCCAGAAGGACTTCCGAAAAAAGATGTCTGGTAGTGAAAAAGGCTTTTTTGTTTAAAATTATCTCATCAAATTCCAAAACCAATACATTTTATTATTATTCTAAAAGAGTACATGTAATGAAGCATGGACTAGGTAATATTTTGATTTTTGAAAAAATGGCGGCTTTCTTGAGAAAAAATTTATCCTTCAGAGTGGCTTAGAAATTATTATCAAAAATCGTATTCCTTCGATAAAATATACCTAAGAAGGTCGTATAAAAATTCTAAGTCGATCGGTCGAGTGGTTTTTATCGACTCTAAAAACAGCGTTTCGAAAAAACATTTTAACGTTTTTTCAAGTAAATTAACAAAATCTTACAAATTATAATACTTATAAATTATTTGCCAATTTTTTTTAGAATATTTTCAAATGTATGTATTGGATGTTAATGCAAAAATATGCTAGGATTTAGGTTTATACCCAGTATATAATAGAATGATAATTTGAAATGTGTCTTGTCCTCCCCGTACTACACTCTCAGTGCATCTAAGAGAACTTTAGGTGTCAGTAATTAGCTCTTGATTTAAATAAGTACTTCTGTTAGCTCTGTTATAGCCCTTCGTCCAGATTACGATTATTTTAGTTAAATACACTTACAGATTTTCAATAAGGCAACGACTATAAGAATTGTAAATCGTAAAGAATAATGTTAAGAGAGCCTATCGAATTATTTGGTGTCAGGAATGCTTTTGGTCGAGATAATTGGACGACTTTAGAGCGAAACTCAAAATTTCTGAACTATTCAAACCTGAACGAATTTGAAACTCAGTGTAGGGTAGGTAAACAGACAAAATTGTCCCAAAAGTCAAGCGCGCAAAACACGTGCATGTCTAATTGACTACAACATAATTAAGTCTTCAAATAGCGCGTGCGGTGTATATATTTATATTTTTGTATACACCTTACGGATATAAAATATTGATATTATTTCAATGGTCGAACACCAAGTGGGTGTGCAGTCGGAAACTTTTGCTGAGCGACCAATTTTGGCAATTTTAAATTCAAGTCCAATATCTATGAGTAAATATGCAAACAAACAGGTGAAGGTTCTGTTAACAATGGTGAGCAATTAAAGAAATGCAAAAAAAAAAATAAACATGAATTTTGAACAAAATAGTACAATATTAAACTCTTTTTATAGCCAACAGTGTACGACTTTTCTTTTTTTAATTAATCAAAATAAATATTTGACATACCAGCCAAGGAAATCAACAACTACAAAAAAAAAAATAGATAAAGAAAATACATAAACGGTAAAAAGGCAGCAAATACACAAATGAAAAAAAATTATAATATTAAAATGCGAAACATAATGGTTGTGAATTTTTCAAATACTAAACTAGTTTGAATCCAAGTTTGGCATTCGCTAGTCACGCACCGGTCAGAAGTAGATAATACAGTTTATGATATTATATTTATAAGCAAACTAAATGCAAGCAACTTTTCATATAACGGTAATCAAAACAAAAGGCGCTCTAAATGAAATTTCAACAAAATCTACAATCGCATCTAACACCCGAATGGCGTACACAATATATCGATTATGGCGTAAGTCTTGAAACTAACTGAAACTAACCTAAAAAACTCAGCTCTTTCAGTCATTTAACAAACCCTTTCATCCCTTTTTATGGTATTTAGTTCTTGAAGCAAATGATACTCGAAGCGGTTGAGAATGCGCCACCCCTTAACAGCCCCGTGTTTACGGAATATTTTGCGCAGTTTCAGCAAAAATTCTTTGAAGTTTGCGATAAAGAATTGGAGAAAATCAATTTGTTCTACGAAGCCAAATTGGCCGAGATCAATCATAAGTACACATTACTACGAGATGAGATGAAATTGGTCGAAGAGATGGCCGGTACAGAGTTGTTGGCGCGTCCATCGATGCGCATTAAAAATCGTCAATATCGACAAACGGTCGATATGACTAAAATATTGACGCGACATGCGACACATGACTTCAAGGCGGCCTTTAGTGAGCTATACTTGAACGCTATACTCTTGCGTAACTATCAGATTTTGAATTACACCGGCTTTCGTAAGATGCTCAAGAAGTACGATAAGGTAAAGTGCAAGAATTTTAATATTAAAATATTAAATGCCTGTTCTCTTAATATCCCTGCTTGTAGCGCATTAGTGGCAGAGCCGGTTATTACTATTTGTCAGGGACAGTGGATAAAGCGGTATTTTATACGAATCGTGAAACTAAAGTCCTTTTGAAAAAAATCGAGGATATAATGACATATAATCTGGAGCATGGTAATCGTCACAAAGCTATGGAGCGGCTTCGTGTACCACCGCTCGCTGACAAATCCCATCCATGGACTTCGTTTCGCACAGGCTTCTCTCTGGGTGCACTTATTATACTCGTCATCATGGTTGTTTTATCGTGTGAGTATTGGCGTGTTTTGAGCGCATGCTAGTGATCGTTTAAGCTTGCAATTTATACCGGGAACACGTTTCGACTGGATTTGATTTAAATTGAACTGAATAAATAGAAAAGTCTGTATAAATAATGTTCTAGCTTGGTCAGTTTGAGTGAAAAGATTTTTAAAAATTTCATCAAGTCCATCGAGTTATTGAATGGTGATTAATAGAGTCCAGTTTGGGAGACAATAGACCTAGTGATCGTATAAGTGCGGCCCACTTTTCAGTAAAAAAATGGCCTAGCTTCGAAAAATATAAAAATATGCCCAATATCAGAAGAAGTTTTAGTTGTAGAGCCTTCGGGCGAGCAAACTCTAAACCAATGTAAAGAGATAAACATTTGAAATCGAAAGCCATACTCAAATGTATTTCTTCCACATATCGCATATAAAATCTAAAAGTGGTGGAAAAGGGAGACTTTTCACTGGCTTAGGTCAGATACTGGCTACTTAAAACCCTAAACAAAGATGAAATGTCATACGAACTGTGTGTTTTTAGTTCGAAAACATTACTTTGGCAGTAAAGAAAAACCAAACAGTCTACTTAGACAGCTCTCAAACCAACAGTTAAGACGTTCTTTTGATAAAAGGGTGCCGAAGCTTAATCCAGTTCGAATTGATTTAACCTCTGCACTTAAATTGTTGCAGTAATTTGTTTAAATATAATTAATTTCTAAATTTTTCCTGCCAGTCACAATGAAAGTCATCGACGTGGATGTGGTAACATGTGTATTACTTTTTCGTGGTCCTTTTACGATGATTCTCTTTCTGGGACTGCTCAGTTTGAATTTCTATGTCTGGCGCAATGTGGGTATCAATCATGTGTTGATATTCGAACTGAATCCTCGTAACTTTTTGGCTGCTGTACAAATTCTTGAGATCGCCGTTGTATTCGGTTGTATATTATCATTGCTGACACTCGCATTTCTACATTCCCAGTACCTTGGCATGCCGCCGTATGTCTTTCCGCTGGCTATGCCTATAATAATGATTGTTTTTCTCATCAATCCAATACGAATATTTCATTATAAATCCCGCATGTGGCTGCTGCGCTATTTGGTAAGTGAATTAAAATCCCATATATATAAATATATATGCTATTCTAAATGGGATTTATTTTTTATCATCTTCACTAAGGGTCGTATTGCTTGTGCACCTTTCTTCAAAGTCGTCTTCGCAGACTTTTGGTTGGCAGACCAATTCAATTCACTCGTAGCGCTCTTCGTTGATTATAGTCACATTATATGCTACTACACGACACCGTTCGATTGGTATTACGCCAAAGAGCCGACTACTTGTTACATAAAACAACGTTATACGGCATTGATACGAGTGTTACCCGCTTGGTTTCGTTTCGCACAATGTTTACGACGTTATCATGACGATCCTGAAAACTTGAAGAAGCATCTAATTAATGCCGGAAAATATTCAACTAGTTTCTTTGTAGTGTTTTTCGATTTCATGGCGAGAAAGTATGAAGGTAAGTAAATATGATGCGTAAAGGATAGTGAATATAGGGGGTATAACTCGTAACCTAACTCATGCGTTTTATATGGAAAAAATTCTAGAAAAATATTAGAAATATTAAAAAAATATATTTAATTTAGTAATTGAAAATTCATATTTTCCTGCAAGCTTCTTACAACAACCGACTGGAGAATCCATTTATCTGGTTATGGATATTGGCTGCCATCATTTCTTCCACATATGGTTTAGCGTGGGACTTTTTAAGAGATTGGGGTATTTTCAGTGCAGATTGCGGCGACCATAAATATTTACGTGCGCAAATTCTCTATAAACCGGTTAGTATATTAAAAAATATATATAAGATCTGACAACTATTGTTTGTCGTTAAGCTTTAATCTTTCTTAACATACAACCTTTCAGAGTTTTTACTACTGTCTGATTGTGGAAAATCTTTTGCTACGCTATCTGTGGGCCTATGTATTTGTATTGAACGAAACAAATGTGGTCAGTCAAAGGATCATGGCGCCTATAGCGGATATATTGGAAGCAATACGGTAAATTGTCATTACAATACATTTCTATTATTCTAACATTTTGCATATTTTTTTTTCCTTTAGTCGTTTCCTGTGGAATTTCATTCGTTTGGAGAATGAGCATCTCAACAATTGTGGCAGATTTCGCGCTGTTCGTGATATCTCAATTACAGTTATTGAACAGCCTTATCGTGGTTCTTTTGCGCCTATTACTGAACCCCCTGCTAAATCTGTACACAATTCGAAAGGTCGTGTTAAACTGAAAATTCCAAATGATTCTAAATCGGTTGTCAATGTTGTATAGTATTAAAATTCATAGTTTAAAAGTTTTACTTAATTGTAATGTAACTAATATATGAATTGAGTAAGCATAAAAAGTCATGATTATCAAGAACATATTTTATTGTATTTTCTGAACTTGTTCTAAGATGAGATTTTTTTGTAAAATAATTATTATAATAAAATTTAAAATTAATTCATATTTAAGTGACTATATTTAATATATTAAAAAAGTTTTAAATATATAGCTTTAAGGTTTTCAAAAAATCTTCTTAGGAACATATTCTTAAAAGGTGGTACTAATATGAAAAAAAATCGATTGTTTTTGAATTTCTAAACCAGAATACCTCTTTAACCTCCCTTACAAATTATTATTATTATATATTATTTTTTAAAGCAGTATTGTAGTTTCACGAACGATACAGTATTAGTAATTTTAACTCTATTTTATCACACACTTGAGACTATAAAACTTGTACACAAACACTTAATAATTTAACAAACAAAGAACACACTATTTATATTTAAAACTTTACTTAATTCATTTGAAAAAAAATTTTAATAAAAAATAAAATTTTATTTATTTAATTTTCACAACGGATCACAACAACCTGGTAGAAAACACACACTGATCTCCAACTTCACTCTGAAAAGAAATTAAAGTAAAAAATACTAAGCTGTATTGTACGTTAGTATTGCTGATTTCGTATTTCAAATCTTTACTTTAATAACAAAACATAAACTAGTTTGAAAGGTTATAAAAACTGGAAAATACAATTTTTAAAGAAGTGTTATGAACAGTTTGCGAATCACTGTAGCTCTAAAAACGATATAAGCCGTGACAAGAACCACAATCTAAATAAATAAAAAAACAAATTTTTCTCTACGCTGCGTTAATAAAAATAAACTTCACACACAAACCAAAATCTCACTAAATTATCCTTTAATAACAATCACTGACAGAGTTGAGCTTTTAACAACTTCCCTCTCCCGAATAACGAATATAAACGAGCAACGCGCACATAACTAGGCAACACTTTTCTATTTTCTCTCCAAATTCTCTTTAGTATTTCCAATGCAAGTTATTCCAAATATTTAGCGACCATTTTGATAGGACACATGCTGAACAAGAAAAACTATTGTATTTAATTTGCGTACACACTTACCTAAATACAATTGAACACTTTTATTCTGCTGGTGATAGATAATCACAGCAAAAACTGGTTTTTAATTACTTTTTATTCTACTTCAAGCACTTCACTTCTCTTATTTCACAGACATTACATGACTTTAAATACTTAAATATACTTAAGTACCTTTTCTTACCGAACACAACCCGATTTTATGTTATAATTGGCTAGTTTATTTTATTTGCTCTAGTTTTTGTGATACAGGTACTTCTTGAAATATCGTTACTCGGCTTACTTTAATTAATTTTTAGGGTAAGACTATATTTGTCAATGACGCTGTGTCTACATTAGGCAGAACTTGTTTAAATGATCCAATAGATTTTGTGCTGTCGTAATCACTACATGTATATGAATGCCATTTGAATACGCCTGATCCTATTAAAAATTTGGGAATTTTGGTTATGTTTTTGAAAGCTCAAAGCAAGGCTGGGGCATGTTTTAAATATATCAGTAAACTATTTACGAAATTATGCACAGAAAAAATTAATGCTAGTATTTTTGTCGATCCTCAAATCAAGGAACTAATAAAGGACCAACATTTTACTGATTGCATAACAGTTAAGAAGAAATCTGTATGGATTGAATTTATTTGGGCTGTGCAAAATTTTTAGGAAATAAAAAGTCTTCAGACTATATTCAACGCATTGAGCAGCTCATGTTGCACTTCCAGAGACTAGGGTATAACATGAGCATCAAGATGCACTTCATCTTCAACTATTTAAGCCGCTTCCGAGAAAATTTAGGCGACTTAAGCAAAGAACTAGGAGAACGCTTTTATCAGGATATTCGCACTATGTAAAAGCGATACCAGGGTCGTTGGGATGCTTTCTACTCATGTAAGAAAAGCACATAAAAGAACATTTTTTTTCTGTTAAGTAAGAGCAATATATTTTTTAATTCTAAAATTGTAGTATTTTTCGAAAACTAGAGCTGCCAGAGATAAAAATGACTACAGATTTGGAATCAGCGTGGCAAAATCATACAAATCTAAATAAGAAACTTCATAAAACAAAATTATTGTTTCTCAATGTTATAAGTCATCATTTACGACACGTATTCTTCGCTAATACTAATTTTATTTTAGACAGAGTGGGTAAAACTTATTGTTGTAGAAGACTAGGCATATCAAAATTAGAAATAGTAATTATGATCCCCGTACTTTTCTATGAATGCAATCAGATGCCGCTTAGAACTACTGCTAACAAAAGTTGAGGGAAGAAATGTTTTAGTTATATCATTTAATATAGACGCTTGCTAATTTTTATCTAGCGCAACTTATATCTATAAACGCACATATTAATTTCTCAATTGAATAACTAATATAATTTGAACCAGCGAGTAGGTAGTTAATAATGATAGCCGAGCTTGGAACTTTCGAACGAATGTTAACATACTTGTATCTTTACAGTTTCTGCTCGAACAAAGAGATTTTACAGTATACAGTACAGTTTTACTTTATTGCCTACCCATACCAAAGGTTAAATCTTTGTAAAGATATACATAAAAAAATAATTACAGAGACCCAAAGCTATTTGTTAAATATTCAAAATAACTTAAATTAAACTTAAAATATTTATAATATTTTTTTTTAATATTTCTTAATTTAAATTCTTATTTATTGTATTTGTTTAAAAACTCAAAAATATCCAGCTTATACTATTAAAGAACTTAAATGGTTACATGAAATGAGTTTTAAAAAAATTATTTAACATTCAATTTTCTGCTAACGGTAAGTGCTTTCGGTGAACGGAAACTGTAAAATAAATTAGTATCCGCACGGAAGTTCCGCAACAGCTTAACATTGCTGCTTAAATTTGCAAAGAACGAGTTCATACTTTTACTAATTGCTCAGTATTAGTTCGGAAGTTGGTGCGTGCGGTTGTCAAATAAGTGTAAAGTCGTGTAGTGTTGGTGAAATAACAGAAAGGAAGTATTAAATGTGAAATAAAAAACAGTTAAAAGACATAATTTGCTGTGCGTATGTATCAGCTGCAAATTAAAAGTGTTCCATTGTTTTTAGGTAAGTGTATATGTAAATAAAATAGTTTTTTTATTCAATAAGTGTCCGAACAAAATTACCGCTAACTAGTTCGAAGATCTTCCACTGGAATTACTAGAAGGAATATGGAGAGAAGAGAAGAAAGTGTTGACTAGTTATACGCGCGTTGCTCATTTCTCTTTGTTTGTACACGCAGGATAAAAGCTTTGAATTAATTATTTGGTTTGTGGTTCTTGCCATGGCTGTTTGATTGCTTTTTTAGACATGCCACAGTGATTCGCAAACTGTTCACCATACTTCTTTAAAAATTGTATTCATCAGTGTATTTGATTAATCGTAGGTAGGTAGGTAGGTAAAGTGGCTGTCATTCGACACACTTAGGCCTTTAGGAGGCCCATTGTAATACCACTGGGACTGTGATCCCCTCACTCTATTGGCTCCTCTCTGAACCACCCCGTACTTCTGATGAACTTCATCAGTGAGACAAGTTTTATCTGTGCAACCTCCGAGACGTCGTCAAGAAACCCACGACCGATGGTTGCGATTCTTTTCCTATATAGTGCTGCGCAATCGCAGAGAAGATGTTTAATGGTCTCCTCCTCTTCTACTTCCTGACAGCTTCTACAATAGTCGTTATATGGCGCGCATGGTGCTGAGTGGATAGGCACTGCAATGTATAGAAGGATAATTTGAACTTAGAATATATTTTATTAGCATTTACTATTACCAAAATTGCTGTAAACAATAAAATCTTTCTGTTCTAGCGGAAACGCTAAAATTCTATTAACATCCGTCCGGAATTACCTCACACGCTTAACATTATTATTGTACATACTCGCTGGTTCAAATTATACTAGTTGCTCAGTACAAATTCCAGAGTTCGTGCGTGCGATTGTCAAGTGAGTATAATTTCCTGTTGGGCTTGGTAAAATTAGTAATCGGCTGTTTGAAATGGTATAACTTGCAGTCAATTTGTGATATTTCCAGTTTAAATATATTAGTTTCAAAGTTTAAGTGTTTAATTGAGCGTAAATGCAAATTAAAAAAAAATAATATTCCTTCGTTTGAGGCCGAAATCAAAATGGCCGCACTATTAGTTCGTGATTTCACTGGAAAGATGTCATATACATACATACATACATGTCAAACGAAAAGTTAGTTTTTTTTAGTAGTGCGCGCGTTGCTCATTTCTCTTTGACGACTTCTAGTGAGAGGAGTGTATGTAAAAGCTCAAATCCTTTTAATGAGTTATTATAGAGAGTACAAAATGTTGAAAGCTTAAAATGCTTTGGTGCGAAGTTTTTGAGTAGAAGTCAAATGAACGAGAAACATGTTATTATATGTATTTTATTACATTTTCAATAAAAAACCTGAAGAGATAAGAAACAAAATTATTACATACAAAATTATGTATTGTATTATATTTCATATATATGTTTGTGATTTTCTTTTATTTTATTCTAATAGACACGTGAGGGGTATTTACAAGTGAAAGCAAAACGAGAACTAAGCACTTATTTTCTTATGTTAGGATAATTTTGTAACCGGATCTTAAGAAGAGAATAAACACCGCCATTCATGCAACGGAAACATATTTTTTTGTAGAGCTCAGGTGAGTGTCTTGTGAACTGTACATGGAGATAATTTTCGTAAATCTTAGTTATTCATGATAAACCAATTTATATTAAGATGCATATATATACATAAGTATATGATACTTGATAAAATTTTCTCTAAACACCTACATAAATGGATATAAAATATATTAGTGCAATTATATTGATGTAGATATTGGTGTATATTAACATTTCTTTAATCAACCCTTGGCAGGAACAGTTTTAAGTGCTAAAGGCATTTGATGATATTTGTAAAAGACTACTGGTTCCACAATTTCGCATTTATACATTTAGTTGCTTATCAAGCTTTT